GCTTCCCTACGCGAAGTGTGCTCCGGGGCCAGCAGCTTTCCCTCAGCCCCGCCTCAGACCTACGAAGCAGAATCTGCACCTTAACCCTGGTCCCCAGGCAGGTTGAAGTGTGAGAAGCCCTCTGGAGAGCTGGATGCGCCCAGCTACGAAGGGAAGAGCTCATTCCCTCCCGCACGCACGTGACCTTTACGAACCAACACCCAAAAGGAACAACACATGGGACTTCAGAAAAGGCTGCAGCGATGGAAAGTGTTGGGGGAGGGGAAAGGAAGACACCCCAAGTTTTCTGCTTCTCATCCCCATTCCACACACATCCTGTTAGGATGTTCTGCAAAGATCCAGAGGACTGCTGGCATCTAAGAAACCTAGTGTGTTAGTTTCCAGTTCAGATTCTAGGGCCCCACTGCAAACCTTCCGGATCAGAATGTCTGGGTGTGGGGGCCAGGAGCTGCATGTTAGCAAGCTCCCCTTGGGGACACTTCCACACGCTAAAATGTGAAAATGATTCGCTTGCTTTCCTTTGATTGCTGCTGGATGATTGGCACAGACTTCTCTTCCTCAGGAGCAGAAGTGAGTTGCTGGCACTTCTGGACCCGAGGTGGGGAAATGGCCGTAGAAGCAAGACCTGCCTAACCTTGTGACCCTTTCTCTCCTGCTGCCCCTGGGTAGTCACTGCAGAGGAGAGGGGGGCCACACGGCTGAGGCACAAGGCTCAAGCAGTCCTGACCCTCGGGGGCCCAAGCCCCAGGGCCACTCCAGCAGCTGCAGCTGAGCCTCCTGCACACACTCTTCATCATCCGCTTGCCGACTTGTTAAAAAAAATTCAAAACAGCAATGGGAAATTACGGGTCATGGTGGTGGGGCTTCAGTGGGGGTGACAACGGCGTCTTCACCCAGCCGAAAAGAAACTTGCTTTCTTCTTATTTTGTTTTCCTTTTTGTCTTTTTTACTGATGTCAGTGGGGGTGACAACGGCGTCTTCACCCAGCCGAAAAGAAACTTGCTTTCTTCTTATTTTTTTTTCCTTTTTGTCTTTTTTACTGATGGGTAACGGGATTGCAACCCTCAGTGTCGTGCCCGTACCAGGGACCGGCAATGGGATCGCAACCCTCGGTGTCGCGCCCGCACCGCGCTCAGCCAGTGAGCAGGAACTGGTCTCCACATGGGATCCGAACCCGGCACACTCTCCAGTGCGCCACCGGGCCAGCCCGAAACTTGCTTTCTTATTAACCACAGGGTAGGATGCTAATATTGTCCTTGGCTGGGCTAGCAGGTCACCATGTCACCAGTCAGGTACATTCGTGTGTGAAAATCTTTCTATGTCACAGCATGACTTCCACAGCAGTTTTACAAGTCCTCATACCATGCCTTAAAAAAATGGTGCCTCTGAACTGGGGCGTGGTTTGGGGGGACTTGGAAGCATTTGCTCACTTGTGGGTAAAACTGCCCAGCTGTCTCACTTTTGGAGGTGCCAAATTAATCAGAGAACCACCTCCACTGAAGTCATCACTGTGATTGCTTACAGAATTAAAAGTCACACAGGAAAGTTCCTGAGGCAAGAAGCATATAACCTAACAGGAGACGGCTCGGGCTGAGCAGAGTGCAACGCTCCAGGTCCACCGGGAAGTTCGGCAGGTGGTTCAGACACTTGTGCCCATACATCTGGGGTCAGGAACCCTGGGTTCTAACTCCAGCAATGGTAGCGACCTGGGGCTCCCACGCTAGTTGGGAAATCCTGGCCATATCACACCTTAGATTCTGCATCTGTAAATGAAAGGAGTAGACACGGTCTTCTCTAATGTCTTGTGTGGGTCCAGGTACCAACAAGTTTTCAAACTCTAGCTGGTAATTTTAGCATTGAGTTGGGCAGGAGGGAAAAGAGCATTTGAAACGAGAGACATGGAAAAGATATGCAAGCAAGGCTTAAAACTGCATTCTTGTAGAGCAAGTATTTAACCTTCACTCCGATCTGAAACACACACAGCCAGGAGAAACCGTTCTGGAAGTCGTTCACAGGAGCAGGTGGTAAGTGGGGGAGGGGGAGGGAGGTCTGCGGCGTCTCCCAGGCCTCCTCCAGCCCCCACACCCACGTGCCATTTGAAAACCGTTGAGCTGGGACAGAGGGGCATGTGCACAGTGGAAGCAGGTGAGTGCTGCATGGTGGGGAAGAAGTCACAACTCACATTCTCTTTGATTAATTGAGTGATTTTAGTCAAGTGAATATTGATACATGGTAGAAAAAGCATGAAAATAAAATGGACACGTACAGGGATTACTATTAACACAAGTGATAACATCAAAACATCTGGTAAAATGCGATTAAAAATAACAACACAAATGAAATGGAATGTAAAACATTTTCACAGTATTCAAAGCTTTTGTAGAAGATTTAGACTCTAAAAGAGGAGCACTACAGGCAGGCGCTGGAGGAAACGGGGATTCGCTGTGAGCTCTCCTAAAGCAGATCGTCTGAGCCCCCCACGTCTATAAAGCGACCACAGAGCATCTAGTTGCTAGGAGTCTGATGAGAAAAACAGATTCCAGGTTTGGGAATGGGATTTCTGTCATTTACAGATCCAAATGAAAACTGGATCTCTGGTTGGATTCTGCCTTGGGGAGAACTCGGTGCTAATCCGCAGGCACCGAGAGCCAAGTGTTACGTAGGATATTTAAAAAATAAAATGTTCTTGGAATTCTCGCCTCTCATTCTATCTTCTAAGAAAACTACTAAATATTCTTCAAAGATTTAGCCGAGCTCTGCCAATGGCCTCCCAGGACTCTATCCAGAACGATTATTTTAAAGCTTTACAAATGCAACCTTTGCGGTATCAGTGATTACCAAATCACACACAGACCTACTCTTTTGGAAACCAATGACCAGAGCAATGAGTCTGCACACTGGTTTGTTGTATTCTCTATTGAGAAAAACAAAGGTCTGTGATCATGCTGCTCTGGGCCCACAGATAGCCTCCCGTTTCATCCTGAAATTGCTGGTGTGACATACACGAAGCTGGTGTGCGTCTAAAGTCTTCATCAGAGTACGCAGTGAAACGCAAAGTCCAGGGACTCTGATCTGAGGCTGTGGTGCAACCTGCAGCTGCGATTCACGTTTCCAATTCATTGTGAGCTCTTTCTGAAAATGTCATGTCCTACCCAAGAATTCCCATTTAGAGGGTCACACAGCACGGCGACCTAGTCTTCCTTAACGGCTTACATCCCCGATGAGCCCTCCACTAAGTCCCCTGCGCGGAGCGAGGGCCTGCTGCACGCCGTGCTTTGTCAAAATGAGCACCGAAACCGAGGGAGCCAGAACCAAGACCCAGATCCAGGTACTCTTGAAAATGCTCTGAAGTTCACTTTGACAACAGGAAAAGAGAATGTTTCTAATTAACTAGTATATATACATTTTTTAATCAACCGAAATTACAGGTAAATCACTTAAGGTCCCCAACACTTTATGATTAAATGTCAGAGAGAACCAAAAAAAAAAAAAAAAAAAAAAAAAAAAGTGTCAAAACGCTGAGATCACAGATGGTGAGAGGTTAAGTATACCAGGATAACTCTCAGGTGGGTAACGCAGTTGGCATGCTGGTTTCTGATTAGAGCCTTCAGAAGCTGGCAGAATGTTCCACTGCTTCTGTGTCAGCCCAGGGCCATTGGGGGTGACACTGTCCAGCCTCACTGCAGCATCTGGATGGGGTATAAACATTACCCAGAGCAACAATCACTAAGGTCCTCGAGGTGTCACACAGAACTGAGAAACGGGAAGAAATGAACGTTAACTGTTTAGAGCTACTTCCTGTACACTGGACAAAAGGAGTTATCTCCGGGCGCTGCCTCGTGCACGCCACTTATTAAACAGAACAGCGTTGAGAAGTATCTTAGGGCACCCGGGAAAACCTGCAGGGGTGTGTTGCTTTTGAAACTCTCTCCTTGGATGGGGACCCTTGTCTCAACTTTCCCTCTGCAGAGATAAAAAAAAAAAAAAAATGTAAAAAGTACAGGGAACCGGCAGGCGGACTGTTCTGAATGTCTTTGATCTACAGGCAATCGAGCTTAGAGGAATCCACTTCCAGGAAAGAAAAGAATGGGGGGACCGTGAGTGCTGGTGGCCGTGTTGGGTGCAGGACCGCCCAGAGCCCCCCAGGAAGGAGGACGGTGCAGCTGCACTACCAGGTGAACCCGCAGCCGCAAGTGTTCTTTAAAAGATGCGAAACAAACAGATAAAATTAGAATACTAAGCTCCTCATTCGACTTCACAAATCACACTGACTAGCAATTTGCTGTACTGCTCTAATTTATTTTTTTCTTCTTTAACTACGTTTTCTGAAAACCACTAACCATTGCCTCCTCAGTCTGAAAATCGTCATCTGTCTCGTGCTCACCGTGGCCGCCCTCTCCATGCACGGGGACAGGCATGGGCCACCCTCCACGTGCCCAGGGCAGGATCACGCCCGACTGTGGGAAGCAGCACCTGTGTGGCACCTGACACCGGCAGGCTCGTGTCGGAGGACGATCACGTGCAGCAACCTCCCTTCTCACCCCTCTGTCCTCACGCGCGTGTGACGTGCTCACGCCCCCTTCCCTGCACCTGCGACCTTGTGAACCTGTCTTAAACCCGTGGTGGAATGTGCCTGTTTCTGTCTAAAGCAGACAGAAGGAGAGATTACTCTGGAGCTGACAGCTGTGTGACTGACCAACAGATAAACTTTCTAGTTCCAAAGGCAGAGATTGGCCCATAGTTCCACAAGCCATTTGTCACAACGCCAAGAAAGTGGAACCTCGTTTTTGCTGCCATCCCTCACGTTTTGCCCGTGTCTAAAGCAGACAGAAGGAGAGATTACTCTGGAGCTGACAGCTGTGTGACTGACCAACAGTTAGAACTTTCTAGATCCAAAGGCAGAGATTGGCCCATAGTTCCACAAGCCATTTGTCACAACGCCAAGAAAGTGGAACCTCGTTTTTGCTGCCATCCCTCACGTTTCGCCCAAAAGGCAGAGATTGGCCCATAGTTCCACAAGCCATTTGTCACAACGCCAAGAAAGTGGAACCTCGTTTTTGCTGCCATCCCTCACGTTTTGCCCGATCCCCTTTCTTTAACTGGAAGAGTTCTCTTTCTCAGTGATCATGTCCCTGGCTGAATGGCTCTCCACCTGCCGTCCACACGGAACGTCACAAAAGCCTCCCTCATCTAAGTGGCCCTTTCCTTACCTGGATGTGGCTATGCTGGGGTCTGGGGCATGGTGAGGAGGGGAGAGGGGGGGTGTGCAGGAACAAAGCCGGCTGAGCTAGTGTCCACCACCAGCCGGAGTAGGCGTGGGCCACCAGGTGCCGGGGCCGCCGTCGCCCCCCCAGCCCGCCCCGCGAGAGTCACTTAAAGACCGACTGAAAAGTGGGACACTCGTGGCTCCTCATCTTCCTCATGAAGCTTCTGAACTCCTTGTTTCTCTTGTCCCACTTGTGGATGGCCGTCAGCAGGTACTGGCCCCTCACCTTCCGGCCCAGGATGAGGAACTGGTGGCCGAGGTTGTCCAGCTGGTGGCAGGGGCAGTCGGCTCCGTTCTTCAGGAACAGGACCAGCGTCTTCAACTCCTTCTTCTTAATGGGCCCCAGCTTCAGGGCCTTCTTCTTCTTGGGGACGATCTTTTTGTCACCATTTTCCTTTTTCACTTCTTTGATTTTCATCCTCAGTGCTAGAGACGGTGTGGGGCGGGGCAGAGGAGAGAAGGGAGAGAAGGCGTTTTAGAGCACGGCTTTCCATCTACAGCAACAACCCAGACCTACAGCACACGCGGAGCTAAAGTGAACGGAAACCGCAAGAAGCAGGCACTCTAGGAATCAAAGCCAAGGTCTCAGTGACCCGTCCACACGGACTCGCCCCCTAATCTTGTGGTGACCTCAGTCATTGCCACAGGCACCGTGAGATTCTCAGGAATATCGTACGACGCTTTAAGAGAAGAAGGGGATCATATAATCCAATTTAATCTATATAATCCAATGCTATAGATCTCAGCATTCAAAGAAAAAGCCTACCCTGAGTTTTTTGTTTTTTGTTTTTTTTTTTAAAGGGAAAGTTACTGGTTTAGTTTTTTAACATTCAAAGAACCTAAAATTCCTTGAAAGCTGGGTCCTGAAAACAAGTCAGACAGAGTATGTGTGCACATTCAGCAGGGGAAAGTTGGAGGATACTTAGAATTGTCATGCTTGCTTGTGTGAAACGTCAACGTCCCACTTCAGCATGGGAGAATCAGAGTCCCTGTGACTGTGTCTCAACAGAGGCCAAACAGTGGGCACTGTCTCCACTGACCAGCACTGACGTTCTTTCAGCAGAGGAGACGCACACATGGACTCCCTGACAGACCAGAGCAGGTCCTGGTGAAGTCCCAACAGACAAGTCCAAGTGATGATGTCTCCTCAAATCTAATGTGGCACACGGGACGCTTCTGCTCTCGGCAAGAACCCCAGCAGAAAGGAAAACCAGCCCGACCACCAACTCTGCCTCCTCTTCTGTCTCTGCAGACCCTGGATCAACATTAGTTTTAACCTGTGGACCAGACCCGTTAGTGACAGCCACACAGAGTCAACTGATGATGATGCTTTAGTGTGAAGGCACGCTATACACCATAAACACGCTAAACACATGGTGCTGCTGTTAGTCAATTCCCCTCTAAGACGGACCAGCCCCACATATTTCCAAAGGGGTTGGAAATCATTTTCTAGATGCTAGCTGTCAGCTAATCTGTACATCCTCTGAATTCTTTTGAGTTCAAAATTATCAAGCCCCTCTTTCTAATAACTCAAGGCTTCCACCCACACTCCATGAAGAAAGTCTTGACCCTGAACTAAATACCAATCACTAACAATTCTGAAAGTGTCTGGCATGCCAGGACACGTGCTAAGTATTTTACGTGCACGTCCCTAGTTAATCCTAACTCCACAAGAAGGACACAGTTACTTGCCTATCTGACAGACAAGAAACCTGAGGCTTAAGGAGTTAAGTACCAATCACTAACAATTCTGAAAGTGTCTGGCATGCCAGGACACGTGCTAAGTATTTTACGTTGCACGTCCCTAGTTAATCCTAACTCCACAAGAAGGACACAGTTACTTGCCTATCTGACAGACAAGAAACCTGAGGCTTAAGGAGTTAAGTTGACTTGCCCAAAGTCACTAATCCTAAACTTAAACCATCTATGACTGTGCACTTTAAATCGCCATGTTGTCCATGCCGACTCTATGGTTCCAAAATTCCTTATGGTGCCCCCAAAACTTGGAGTTCTGATTAAATGGACCATGATAATAAGGGGGAGAAGCTCAGACCTTCCCAGGTACACCCGCATTTCAAAATGACTTTACTTGCGAAATGGTAAAAGAGTTCTTGGTTGAAAGAGCCAACTCTGGCAGAGGAAAAGCTGCATTTGGGAAGGCTTTGTTATTTAATATTTAGATGATTAGAAAAGCACAACCTTGGCTAACCCAAGAATAAGAAGGGGCAGCGGGAAATCCTAGGAACAAATCTTTAAGGAGTGTGTCAAAGTCAGTAAATTAAACCCTCACCCACTGCTTTCTTTCCCTTACACAAAGAGTTCCAGATCCTGAAGCCTACTTAACTCAAACCTGGTGTAATACTCTAGGCCTGAGAACTGCCTCACCCCAAGGAAGGCGGAAGGGGTAGGAGCTGGGCACTAATGAGCATAACGTTCCTGGTGAGGATTGTCAGTGACCTCTCAGGCCGTCCGAGGCTTCCCAGTGCACATGGGAGTGAGTTAAGAACACCTTCCCAATAAGCCACTTCCTTCAAACCCTTCGCACCCTGAGCCAGCCATTGCCCAGTGCGACTATGCTTGACTCCCGCCCACAGTGGGCACCAGCCCGTGGGACTGCAGTGAAGAGGAAGCAGCAGAGACCCGCCTATTCCAAGGCCTCCCCCAAGATGTACCCAAACAGGCCCATGCTGGCTCAGCTTCCATGGCTGATTCACAAACCCTGCACCTGGCAGCTCACTCGAGAAAAGACTTTGCCTGTTCTCGTCTGTGGCTCGCTGAACAAGAGACGCCCACAGCTGGGGATGAGTGAGAACCAGCAGCACGAGGCCCACCGCCCAGGCCCAGGCCTCTGCCTCCCCTCTGTAAACAGAGCAAATGGGAGCGGGAGAAACTGCTAACCAAAGAAAGGCTGCAGGGTCCTGGGCAGCAGCAAGGGAGGGAGAAAAATCTCCTTCCACGAGACCCTCCAAGACATGGCCCCAGGTTGCTAGGTAAATCCCAAGCTGCCTCCTAAAGTCTAGAGCTCGGAACCAAGCATTGCTAAAGGAGCGAGCAGAACAGCAGCAGGAGACACCAACGCGTGCACCAGCTGACAATGTGGGTACCGTCTTTTCTGCACTGAGTTCCCATCACATGCTGGGCTCTGCAGGTGAGCAGGGGACAGGTGCTATCTGTGACTCCTTGTGTAAAACTCAGCAACCATGTTAAGAAGGTATCATTATTATTTCATTACAACCAAGGAGAAGGGCTCGGGGTTAAGTAACAACAGAGACGAGGCCACCATTTGTAAGAGACAGCACTGGGATTAGGGCCCA